AAAAAAAAAAAAAAAAAAAAACCAAAATCCCACCAAAACCATGGGAAAGCAAATTCAAGGAAAATGTGGAAAATGATGTCACATGAGGTGAAGTTGGAAAATCAATTGCCTAGAAAATTTTGGCTATAAAACAGCCAAAAAGGTGGAAAATATTTTCCAACTTCCATGGAAAATCTTACACATTAAACAGGGCCTAATATATTTATCATGTCAATTCAATTTGAAGTTTCCTCTAATGTTATACTACCAATGGCTTCTGGTTTCTCATTGTCTTTACTATAGGTATATGATATGCTTTCCTTTGTACAGAAACGTTGGACGGAAATGTTTCCATGCATAATTGGGAGAGCGTCAACTATTGATGTGATTTCCGCTGGCGCGGGTGGAAACAGAAATGGTGCACTGCAATTGGTATTACATTTTCACTGATATCGTTCTAATCCCTCAGTCCCCCAGAGGTGCTGAAAAAAAAAATACCAAACAACTTTTTTGTGTAGATGCATGCCGAGTTCCAAGTTCTTTCGCCTCTAGTCCCTATCCGTCAAGTGAAGTTTATTCGCTACTGCAAGCAGCATGCAAAGGACATCTGGGCTGTGGTTGATGTTTCTGTAGACGCCATCCAAGAAGGTTCAAGTGCACATGTTGATTGCAGGAGGCTCCCTTCAGGTTGTGTGATTCAAGATTTGCCGAATGGCTATTCCAAGGTAATTGGTAGTAAGGATTTTGTTCTCTTTTGGAGTTGTCCATGATTAAACTCAATATGTTACGGGTCTCTCTAGCCTTTAGGGTTTCCAATCTCAAATTAGGGCTATTTTTTAGGTCCAAGTACGGACACTCCTGGCATGTGGAGTGTAAACCTTCTTAAACTTAGCTTGCAAAAATTGTTTTGTTGATATTGTTGAAATGGACTTTTAGAATTTTGGCCCGAGAGTCTGAACCTTACATAATATTGTATTGATATCTAAGTAGAAAACTAGGACTCTTAGTGCTATTTAAGTTGTTTATCGCCAATTTAGAGCTGAAGGTATCTATACTATAACATTTGTTGATAACTTGTATATCCGAATCTCAAGCATATTAAATGTTTGCAATAATGACCACGGTAGTCTAATTATGTATTGTATATGATGCTTTTATTCCTGTCTCTTGCGCTAATTCTTTCTCTCTCACATAGATGCACAATTTTGTATTTCCTGGATGCAATCTTATTTTGTACTCTTCTTAGCTCAAGATAATGTAGTGATGGAATCTACCTAGCTTGTTATATGTTTTCTTGATCTAAATAAGGGAAGTTTTGCGATGAGAGATGGATTATGTTCTGGCCTTGGTAATGGTTAGGTGTAAAGCAAATGGAGACCAAAAAAATTAGAAATTGAAATCTTCCTAATTCCACTATCCTGTTCACAAAATAAAAATCATTTTCTTCATCGATCCAAATAAAATAAAACCATTCAATATAACTACAAAGTGATGCATAAAAATTTGATTTTGAAAAATGCAATTTAACCATCATCTAATTGGACCAAATATGGCCACTACATTCCATTTAATTACTGTTAATGAAAGAATAAACAAACGGATATCATTGGACCACCATTTCATTGGGAAGAAACAATATAAGTCGGCAAGTCCATTTGAAAGCCAGCCATACGTTCCAGTGCCTTCTAATTTTTAAAAGCCAGCATTCCATTTCATTCTTCAAGCATAATGATTTCATTTTGGCCAGAACCTTTTTCATTTCCGTCTCCAAGCAAGCAAGCAATCAACAGAGGAGAATCTACAAATTAAGTTAAGAATATCAAACCACAAAATAGATCTTTCCTTTTCATTGCTTGAGTTTTTCAGTCTGTAGAATTCCAGAACGTTGTTCATTGCTTGAGTATTTCAGTCTGTAGAATTCCAGAACGTTGTTCATTGCTTGAGTTTTTCAGTCTGTAGAATTCCAGAATGTTGTTCATTGCTTGAGTTTTTCTGTCTGTAGAATTCCAGAACCGTTCCATTTTCATTTCCTTCATTGTTTTCTTCCATTAACCCATAGCATTCCAGTCATGAATCCATCCAGCTCTTCAGAATAGAATCTGCAAACACAACAAACACTTGTAAGACCATCTATTCGTGGACAAAATTTTGATGATAAGCCACTATGGAATCATGTCAAGGTTCTGGGTACAGCAGCAGGTGGAGGAGGAAATCGTAACTTGGAGTTGCAACTACTGCGGCAAGAAAGTGACCGGATCCTATACAAAAGTGAAGGCTCATTTGCTAAAACTTTCCAATCACGGGTTCAACTTTGCAAGGCTGTAACTGATGATATACTACGAGAGATCAAGAAGGAACACGAACAAGTTGAATGGAAAAAATCACAGCATGAGTACAACGAAAGGGAAAAGGCAGAATATATTTCACTATCCGACGGTTTAGATTTGTTACAAAAGAAACGAAAAAAAGGAGGAGACGGACCTTTAGAAAAATCATTTGACATGGCACAGAGGGATATAGCTGATAAAGAGGCCGCCCGTATGTTTTATGCAAGTGCTTTACCATTCAACTTTGCAAAATCTCCCTACTTCAGACAATACTCAAGATCATTAGCTAATAACAACTTGGCAGGTTACACTCCTCCTTCATATAACAGGTTGCGTACTACATTGCTTGCCCAAGAAAAGGAACATATTAATAGAAAACTTCAACCCATAAGAGACTCGTGGAGAAAAAAAGGGGCATCGATCGTTTCTGATGGATGGTCAGATAAGCAGAGGAGACCTCTTATAAATATTATGGCTGCTTCTGCTGGAGGAGCAATGTTTATTCAGTCAATTGATGCAACTGGAAATGTAAAAGATGGTGATTATGTTGCGACATTGTTTCTAAATGCAATCAAGCAAATTGGAGAAGAAAATGTTGTTCAAATCATCACAGACAATGCAAGCAATTGCAAAGCTGCTGGGTTAAGTATCGAATCGAGGTATCCTCATATCTTTTGGACTCCTTGTGTGGTACATAGTTTGAATTTGGTTTTAAAAAGTATTTGTGATCCTCCTGAAAAATCACCTCAATATGCAAGTTGTAAGTGGATTGCTGATTTGGTGAATGATGTACAAATTGTTCGTAATTTTATTGTCAATCATGGTATGGCACTAGCAATATACAATAAATACTCTAAGTTGAGTTTGTTGAGGGTGGCTGATACGAGATTTGCATCGAATATTGTAATGACTAAACGCTTGAGAGGAGTTAGGCCGGCACTAGAAAAAATGGTGATGGATTCAGATTGGAAAGTTTATAGGGATCCAAACATTGATTGTAAAGCACAAGAAGTGAAAAAATGCATCGTGACTGATACTTGGTGGGATGATTTAGATTATTTTCTGTCTTTTACAGAGCCTATACTTAATATGTTACGAGTTTCTGATACAGATTCTTCTGTTTTGCATTCAATATATGATGTGTGGGACACGATTGAAAATGTGAAAAAAAATCATATTTCAGCATGAAGGGAAAGATATGGTTGGTGGTAATTCAACATTTTTTGATATTATTCACCAAATTTTGGAGAGTAGATGGAACAAGAGCAACACTCCCTTACATTGTATGGCACATTCTTTAGTTCCTAAATATTATTGTGAAGCTTGGTTGAAAGATGGAACTAATGGAATGCCAAGAATTGCACCACACGAGGATCAAGAAGTTTCCGCGAATAGAAGCAAATGCTTCAAGAGGTTGTTTCCAAATTCAAATGATTTGAAGAAAGTATATATTGAATATGGAGCGTTTTGTAGTGGATCAATTATTTCAATGAGCCGCATGTAATTGATGCAAGAATGTTTGAAGAACCAATTTCTTGGTGGGCTAATCATGGTGCCTCTACACCTTTATTGCAATCATTGGCTTTTAAATTGCTTTCACAACCGGTATCTTCATCTTGTTGCGAGAGAAATTGGAGTACATATTCATTCATTCAAAGCATCAAGAGAAATAAATTGACAAGAAGTAGGGCTGAAGACCTTGTCTTTGTCCATTGTAATCTTCGTCAAATGTCACGAAATGAAGAGGCGTACAAAGAAGGACCGACAAAATATTGGGATCTATGTATGTTTTCCATAAGCTTAACATCTTCATTCTTCATTAAAGAAATGTTTCGGATTAATTGTTTATGCATTTCTCGTTTTGTAGGTGGAGATAGCATTAATGTGGATGAACAAACAACCATTGAACTAGAAGAACTTTCCCTTGATGAGCCACAACTAGAGACATTTATTCTTGATGATAATGAGTAGAGTTGGAGGGGAATTGGTTGATTACATTGATTTGTAGGATCAATTGCTACTATTGGAATTAATTATGTTATTTTTAACTTTTATTTTAATTTTGTGCTTTGTCATGTCAATTTATTTTTTTGGATGTTTTAGACTTTTATTATAAATTTCTAGTTGATTTTTAAGTGACATGTTTATCTTTTAACAATTTACAACTTAATTATTATTTTATTTTTCTTTTTACATTTGTAGTTTTTGGGAAAAAAAAAAATAATAATTGAAATTTCAAAGACGTACCCACGTACCCGTGTCCGAAATTTAGACTCTTTTTAATCATATCCCCGTATCCTCTATTTTAGAAAATAAAAAATCCGACACTTAAATACGTACCCGTACCCGTACCCGAGTCCAAGCAACATAGGTCAAAACCTATATTGCCTTAATAATAGCATAAACAGAACTTTTTCTTTTCCCGTTGTACCAGTATTTGCCCGGTGACAGTGTGGTGAGAGCTATTTTTAAAGTAACATATTTACAGCTTTGACTAACAAAAAGAATTATTTATTTTAAAACTCATAAGTAAATTTCTTAGGCTCAGCCAAACATGCAGTAAGTATTGCTTAGAAATTGCACATAGTTTATGGACAGGCTGCCTAAGCCCTTTGGCTAAGCCATTCAGCTCCCCATTTATGGAAATAGAGAAAGGACTGGTGATACTGTGGGTCAGTTGATGTGATTATTATGGACCTTATGGTTGATAACCATATTGCAGTTGTGCATTGTGCTGTTTGCATACAAGTATGAAAATCAATTCAAAGTTGCCGTAACATGCTTGTGCAATTTCAGTGCAATTTTGAAAATCAGCTGGAAATTTGTTGACATAATTAACTTCAGAACCACTTGGAATACCATACCATTGCTCTAGCAGGCTTGATGCATCTCTGTTTTTACTGTTTTAATTTTCGGGATAGCTTTCCTTTTATTTTTCTGTTTTTGGTAAAGAAAGGTTGGTAACTTCAAAATTGAGTTTCAGGTTACCTGGGTTGAACACACAGAATATGATGCCAATGTCGTCCATCAATTATATCAACCATTATTGAATTCTGGATTGGGCTTTGGTGCACAAAAGTGGGTCGCCAGTCTACAAAGACAATGCAATTACTTGGCTGCAATCACGTCCTCTACAATCCACAGTGGAGATCATGCAGGTGTTCCATTTAAATTGTTTTTTCTACTTCCTCAACCATAATACTGGCTATGCAAAGCGCAAAGCACAAAGCAGGCATACTAGGGTCTCTTAGTTGTTCTATAGCTCCTTGTCAATGGTATAGTTTTACTTTATTTTTTTCACATTCTGGAGGTTCAGCTGTACTTCACCTTTCTGAGTTTGTGCTTTATTTTTATTTTTTTCACATGGATGAAATCTTCCCTTTTTGGTGGTTTGATATAAAGAATAAAACCATATGGATACTGATGCATATTATATATACACCAGTAACCAATCCAGCCGCCAGGAGGAGTATAGGAAAGCTAGCACAACGGATGACTCGCAGCTTTTGCACCGGTGTTTGTGCCACGGTGCACAAGTGGGAAGTTATTCAATCTGGAAATGTTGACAATACCAAGTTGATGGTGCGGGAGAGCATTGGTAACCCGGGGGAACCTTTGGGTACTGTGTTGAGTGCCGTGACAACTGTTTGGTTGCCAGTATCTTGTCACCATCTATTTGACTTCTTGCGGAATGAACAAACAAGAGGTCATTGGGATGTCTTATCTCAAGATGGTTGCGTGCAACAGATGCTGCACATTCCCAAGAGCCAAGACCTTGTCAATAGCATCTCTGTTCTTCGAAATAGTGTGAGTGTTCATGCATTTTAGGGAAATTTGCAGCTGATATCTCCATCTTTGCTAAGTCTAGCACTTTGGTTTCCATCCAGTTTTTGTTTTAAAATGGCACATGTGGACCTATGTGCCTAAATTTGGAACTACTCAAAAAATTGAATGAGAACCCCAGGTGCTATATTTAGCAGAGAAGACCTCAGCTGCAAATCCCCCCGCCATTTTATTAAAACAATTTCAACTCCAAATTACAATTCTCTGGTTATGGGTTTTCATTGTGTACTTCAACTTTCAGGATGCTGCCATTGCTGCTAATCAGATCAGCATGCTCATCTTGCAAGAGACGTGCACGGATGTTTCAGGATCACTTGTAGTACATGCCGCTGTCAACTCTGAAGCAATGAGTGTGGTGATGTCCGGGGGTGATCCTTCTTGTGTGGCTTTATTGCCATCTGGATTTGCAATTGTTCCTGATTGTTCTCCCGCTTCTGGTGGGCCTATCAACTACAATGGAGGCAGTGATGAAGACAGTAGTGGCTCATTACTTACTATAGGATTCCAGATATTGGTGAATAGCTCGCCTGCTGCCAAGCTAACAACAGAGTCAATTGACACTGTAAATTCCCTCATCGCTCGCACACTCCAGGGCATCAGAGTCAGCCTCCAGTGCAACTGATGTGCGTGAAACTACTCTACTGCAACGCCAACATATACGTCGTTAAATTTTTATAAAGCAAACTTGCCTATGGCATTGATATATAGAATGAAGAGAGAAAAGTCTCGGGTTTGAGGTGAACAATCTTGGTACAGATTTGAGTCAAGAATGAACCTTTTCGTTGAATGGTCATGGAATTTTGGGTGCAAATGCAATGTGTTTCTTTCATTTGATTTTGCACCGAGCTGGTTGTAGTTTGGGCAGTGACCCCCTATATAAGTTATATGTCTGTACTCGGTAGTGTTTTATTTGTTTTTGAAGTTTCTAGGAATTCTTGAAGGTTTATTGAACTCATCAGTCACTGCATTATGAAATATATTTTGTTTCACATTGAGTTGCTTCAATTCTTTGATTTTTTATTATCAATATTATTTTTTGTGTCTTTTGTTAAGGCTATATGTGCAGTTTCTTTATCTTATAGTCAAGTTTTGCGAACTATTTGTAGAGAATTTTGGATGAAATGAAAAATTAAAACCTATTTAAAAGATAAAAAACATTCCTACCATGGATTTCGAACCAGTTGGATCCATCTGTGAAATTTTAATCTGAAACTTGGTTCGATGCGATTATGAAGAAATCCAGACCAAGAAGACATTATCATAGGAATTAAATGTTGGAGCTATAAATATAACAAAATTTAAGTGCTAAACTTGGGCCAAAAGAGTGTGTGGGATGTGCTAATGATGGGAAATTTATACAAAAGTCAGTAAAAAAACATAATATATATGAAATGTTTGATAATGTGAATTATACCCTACAAAACACATTAATATTATAGGAAAATAAGAATTAAAATTTTGTTGATTGTGTAATGTAATATCATATATCAAATATGTTAGGTTTTTAGTTGTAATGACAATTATTTAAACAAAATGATTATTATAAAAGATTTGTAAAAGTCAATGAGTCTTTTGAGGTATTATATAAATGAACTAAGAGTTTTTGAGTTCAAGTATGGAACACGGAGAAAGAATCGTCGGATTTATGCTAGCATGTCTCAAATATGATGCTCGAGCGTCTAGAACAGAACCATGGTCGCCCGCCGTTGCTCGAACGATACTCCTATAGCTTACCAGTCGTTAACCTAGCACTCAAACGACGGTGTTTTTCGAGAAATTCTAGTTTGCGATTTTCAAGAGTTCTATCTATCCTATATTATACAATACTTCCATATTATAAACACCCAAACACTACTTCGTGAAAAGGGTGGTTGGTCATTATAATACATCCTCATAATATCATTCCAAGAACATATCCGAACATTGAGATTAAACATTTGATTCTTGAAATCAATCAACAAGAAGTTGGGAAAAACATCAAATTTAAATAATTCAAAACACTCACTTCCTAAATATAATTAGAAGGTACTTTCTCAATAACTTTAGGAGGTTATTGAATATTGAGGGAGGTTGAACTAAAAGCACATAAAGAGTACAAGAACAAGGTGTTCTTGGTGATACATTGGTAATAGACAATTCCAGAAGATCGAGAGCAGGTATAAGTGAAGCACGTTCCAGCGGGTCATTGAGATTGCAGGAATTAAATCAGCGAGTCTAGTAGGTTTTCTAAGCTAGATCATACTTCAAGTTCTTATTGTCTATAGTGGAAGTTATTGGCTAGGTCCCGGAGTTTTTACCCAGTTAGGGGTTTTCTCTGTCAACAAATTTGGTGTTATTTACTACTTTATTTATTATTATGACAATTCAAGATATAATAACTTGACTTGATTGACTAAATATCTAGAACAATTAGAAAGTGAATTGTTTCTTTTAACTGATAATTTTAATTCCATGTTATTCACCTATTCATCCAACTCTAGGAGATTTTAGGGTCAAACTCGTAACTTTCAAATGGTATCAAAGCCCAAATTCGATTCATGACCATAATTTTTAGATGAGTAACTCATTGCCTTCCTGACATATTTTGGTGGCAGTAACTATACCTATTGAAAAGTTAGAATGAGAGACTTCCTGAAATTGATGAATGAGAGTATCTGGTTGAGCGTAGTAAATTGTTGGACTGTACCTTCTAGCACTGTTAATGATGTTGTCATCCCCATTCCTATAACAAATTGGTCTAAGGCTAGTTTAGATGAGTGTAATTGAAATAGTAAGACTTTACATGCTTTATTTATGGCTATGTTACTAGAAGAATTTAGACGTGTATCTATGTGTGAGGTTGTTAAAGAGGTTTGAGATATTTTACAGACCACACACGAGGAAACTCGGGCTGTTAAAAATTCTAAGTTACAGATGTTGACCACTAGGTTTGAAGATATTAGGATGAAGGACAATGAGACCTTCGATGACTTCTATGCAAGCTTGAATAAAATAGTTAATTCTTGCTTCAATTTAGGTAAGAGAATTCCAAAGCCTAAGATTGTCAGAAAAATCTTTAGATCATTACTAGAGAGATTTATGTCTAAAATCACGGCTATAGAGGAGAGTAAGGATATAGATGCTATTAAGTTAGAAAAATTGGTTGGATCTCTCCATACTTATGAACTAACATTAGTTAAACCTAAGAAAGATAAGGCTTTGGCCTTGAACGGCTATTAAGGATAATTATCATGATTCTTTTGATTCAAAATCACTTAATAATGAAGAAATAGCCAACTTTGTTAAGAACTTTCGAAGAATGTTTAGAAATAAGAAGATGACTATAGAGAAACATAGAGGACACCCAAGTGAGTCTCGAAAGAAATCTAACACTGGAGATGTTATAAGTGTTAAAGGTTTTGGCCACTATAGAGATGAGTGTCCTAATGGTTAGAGAAATTAGAGTAATGCTATGAATACAACTTTCGTCGATGATGAGTATAACTCGGATAATCAAAGTGAGAGATCCACTCATAAGGAGAGTGAGAAGTTTATGGCCTTCACTCTATGATTAAAAATGAATCTGATAAGGACTATAAGAAGGTTGAAGAAGTGGATAGTGGTGAGCACTCTGAGGAAGATTCTGAAGATAAGGAAGAGTTTCGTGAATAAGTCATGCTTAAGAAAGTGAATGCACTTGAGCTAGAAAGAGAGAGACTTATGTATGACCTTCAGGAGTCAACCAAAAGCCTTAGAAAGGTAAGATTAGTGAATTAGAACTTATAGGCTAAGGTTAAAATCCTGACAAGTGACCTTTAGAAATTCATTACTCAACTTCATTCCTTCTTCAGTAGATCTCAGAAACTGGACAGTCTTTTGGGGTTGAACGAGCCTGTAGGGAATATGAGAGGTCTAGGATATAAGTAGACCGATCATAATAGGGCCAGTACTTCCACAATCATTTTTAACCCGGCCACCAACTAGCAAATGTATGTTCCTAATGCAGAACTCAAGACCAAGGGTACCGTAAAACAAAGGCCTACTAGACAGCGTATGACTTACCAACTTAGGAATGGATATTAGCGACCACATAACTTTGGGACTAGATTTATCCTTATTTATTTAATTGTGGTGAGTTATGACATATAAGATCTATGTATCATAAATTCCTGAATAGAAATAGAAATTAAAATTTCACTAGTGTTAGAAATTAGTATTTTGATAGCAAGATTGACTTCTTCACTAATCTAGTGAATCATTTGACCAAGTTAATGACACGATTGACTCTAAATAAGTCTTCCACTAGACAAGTCTAAGTTAAAAAGAATGATCTGAATTTTTTTTAAATTGATCACGTTGATCTTAAAGGTAAAAGTGTTTGTATACCTAACTGACTAGGTGATTTTGATCCATGCTTATACTTATTAATTGCGATTCATTCATTATTACATGTATCTCTTTTTTTTTTTTTTTTTAGGTAGTTTGATGTTTAAAAAACAATTGAAAAAAAAAAAAGAAGACAATTTTTTTTAACTACAGTATGATATATGATTTACTCGAACATATATGTTGTGAACAAATATGAGTTCAATTGATGTGCTGTAACATATTTTTCATTATTTTGTTTAGGTTTATGTGGAGTACTTAGTATAATTTTCTTTATGTACCATTTATATGATCTTGTGAATGAGTCTTGGCTACGAGTTTGAGATTTGGGATGGTCGTAATATGTTGGTGAGGTGATATTGAATATGGATTGACCTTAATTTTTTAGATCAAATTTTGATATCCCCTTAAAAGAAAAAATGTTTCATTTTATACTCTTTTTCGAAACCTATTTGACTCGAACAATTAAACGCGAGAGGTTTCTCATAACCTAATGCCCTATAATTAACTGACTTGGAATCATCGGCCTAAAACTCGTTACAGTGGTCATCTTATTCTCTTAATGGAGAAGAATCTTTACATAAGATGTAAAAAAATTAAAAAGAAAAATAGAAATTGTGCGAAAATGTATATATGCTCAAAGTCAGGAGGAGAAAATGATAATATACATGAAAAATGAGCTTCATTTATAGGTCCTAATATACATTATTGATTTTAATTTCATTATTAGGGAAATAAAATTATTTAACAGTGATGTTTAGCATATATTTTCTCACAAATTTAAAGTTTGGAGTTTTGCTCATAAGGAATTAATAGCATTTTACATACATGGGTCACTTATACAATTTACTTCATTTAAACTTGTACTGAATATATGGGAAAGTTTAGTGGTCATTGATTATGCTATCAACTGCATCTTTGAATTATTTAGTTGTATTGACTTAGTTATCTTCTTCATTTATGACAACAAGAGAAGATAACATAAGAGATGGGCATAGACGGGCAATTTTTAAGTCTAATTTAACTTCATTTTAGGGAGAGATGATCATTTTGAATGCTTAGGGCATGCTCTCTTTATCGTTTTTAAATCGTTTTCTGTTTTCGATTTTCCAAAACAGTGAAAACAAGTTAAAAATTTACAAAGAATACCCAAAACAATCGTTTTGGGTGTTTTCAATTATAATCGAGCCAAAAATTTTAAAAAGTGTTTTAGGTTTTTTCAATCACCGCCAACCACCACCGTAACCCAACCACCAC